GCCCCGCCCACCATTGACAGCTGGCCTCCACTCCTCCATACACCTCTATCCACCTTTTTCCGGCTCTTTAAGACTTCCCCGACCCGAATTATGAGGGCTTGTAGAAAATGCTGTACACTTCAGAGCGCGCCCCGCCCATTCTGGGCGGGCCTCCGCCCACGTCATGTATGCAGGAAACACCTTGGACATTGCTCCCTTACACCAAATTGTTTTCTGCTCTGTAGGCTTTCTCCCAACCGAGTTATGAAATTTTTCATAAAGCACTGCTTTTTTAGAGAACGCCCCGCCCACCGGGGGTGGGTCTCCCTAATTCGATGTTACTTACCAATGCACACCTTAGCCCACTTTTTGGCCCAGTTTCGAGGTCGTTTTGTTACTGAAATCGAAATCTTGGTCTTCGGTACAATTCATTTCGACGCACGCCACGCCCTCTGTGGGCGGGGCTCCGCTTAGCTGATGTGTGTTTTGTATTACGTGAGACCTTGCCCACCCATTCCACACTTGACCCGGTCCCTCCAGGTGGATCCCGAGGAGCTAGGGAATTTCGTGACAGACACACAGACAGACAGACGACAGACGACAGACGACAGACGACAGACGAAAGACGAAGCGCTTATAATAGTTAGTAGGCATAATCGAGGGTAGCAAAACCAGTCGTGAGCCACCGTGATCGCTTCCCTTTACCTACAGATTAATGAATATACTTTGTGGTAGCGTTCAGAGAACAAGCGTGTGACATTGTCGTCCAGTGGCGAAAAACACGAGAAAATCGCGTCAAGAAAACAGAACCGGAACCCTCTCTTTCCGACCCAGGTGGCCTTCCGCCACTCATTCTGTACAGGTAAGCAGCCTCAAGATCCGACCTATGAATGAGTTCACCGCACGGCGTTTGGCGGCACCTTCTCAAACCACGCTCCACTCGAGTTGCTCCAGTTGTGCCGCTGCTGGCAACGCAGCTCGTCCAAATCACTGACTAAACTAGTGACCGGAGCGCTTTCGAAGTCCTGCTCAGCTATGCACGAACTTTCTGGTCGGAACGCCACCCACGGTTTCCCACACTTGCAGCCAAATACTCTGCATCGCATATCTTTCCCAAGCGCTTTCCTCTTATCGCTGCCTTAAATCAACAGTGCCCGGCCGCAATGTTTTACCCTCACACTATAGATTTTGTGATGATGCGCGCTAAGCCCTGATCAAGAACCTGCAAGAAGTGATATGCGGGAACACAAAAAAAACCACTAGGCAAAGCCCTAAAACGCAAGCTGGACTGCTAAAATGGCGTGGGTTGAATCGGTCTACGGACTTGCACCCAACGATCGATCAACCCACGCCACTTCCAACCGTGCCACTCTCCAGTTCTAATCGCTTCAAGGTGAATTTTGTTCAAAACTCACATTCTAAGGTCATGAGAGCTTGCGCCTCGTTTCCACACCCATTCCACCATTAGTGTCGAAGGAAAAACCTTGCTGGGACTGTTGCTTTAATTTTATTTGTTTCCGCTGGTCATAATTATGCATTGGTACCTCTGAGATTATTCATAGATCCGCGGGGTAATTTGATGTGGCGACGAGCGCTTTTGTTTCACTCGGAACGAACGTCTTTGTTGCCTTGTGATGCTTCTTATGACTGAGCTTTTTTTCGTACGGTATTAAATTGTTCCAGACGAGGGATGTAGATCATCCCAATCTCAAATTCTGCTTCTATAAACCCACCACTTCGAAAGTCGCCTCCAAAGGCTGATCTGGCGAAACACTGTAGAAATAGTGTAGCCGCCACTCAGAAAAAGTATACCTCGAAAGACTGGTTATCTCCATTTTGGTGAGATTTCATGCTGATGTACAATCGTTCATATGACACCTATAGGAATGATGTATTGGTTGCATGTGTATCAAATGGCATTTAGAGGCAAATGGGCCGTTAACTTGGGTCACTCGTTGAAAACGAAACTATAGATGATAGATGCGCAAAAATGAAGAAAAAGCAAACCAAACAGTCTAAAACCCGGAGTTTGGTTGCATTTACTTGTTGATTTCCACTTTGGACGAGCCGGTAGCCGATCCAGAATTCGCTTGGTCACCCCGATGGCTGGTACCGGCAAGTGTTATGCTTTACTGCTTCAAGCACTACAAAGGCATTAGCAGATAGACAACGTGAAATGCTCTTTCGAAAGGAAAAGTAGACGATGACGTTATCAAGATCAGCATCCAGCACGCTTATCATTCATCATCTGGAGTGGTCACCACAGATGAAGCCTCGCCAGGCCGTGGGAGGGGTGAAGGTGCCTCTTCGCAATAAAAATGCCAAGTTTTGCCCTCTTTGAAGCACAGCCTTCCTTTAAAAGGGAGATCAGATGGAAAAAGAGCGTACTACCTGCTTTTAGTCTCCTCCAATAACTTTGTACTTTAGCTGTCCCTGGAAATAAAGTGAATGAGAGGAGCAACTTCGAGCTATGCACAAACCACTGCAGGCTAATGACTTCAGCAACGTAACGCGTTAGTTCTCAATAATCACTATTCATTTGATGGCTCATATTCCAGAAAGCTCCGTCCGCCTATGCGCTGCGCATACGTGGCAGATGTAGCCTGCTACAATTCAGGGAATGAAAATATCATGAAACACGGGAGCGCGAGCAGAACAAGCAGCGTCAAGGTGAGAAAAAGTGTAATGATTTTTGAAATACGTGTACAAATTCAATGTTTCAGTCCATCCAACATCAACGTGCTTCCTCTTTTGTTCAGGAGTAATTTCCGCTGTCTGAGTTGAGCCTCGGGGGTTGACGGAATATAGTGGTTCGTCTGAGTTAAGCTGCGAAACGAACCACAATTTTTGTTATAATAAATTCCTCCCTATAGAATATCTTTTCTTCTTTTATTGACCTATTGTCACCAGTAATCTAACTGTGCTTTTTATGAAATGCTTTCGCTCAAAGAAGTTCTACGAAACATAACACAGCAACAGTTCTCCGCAACTTTGTCATATGATTTTGATTTGCCATTGCGACTCGGAAACTGTAAATGATATCCTTAATGTTTATTCACTTTTCCTTATCTGTATGTCACTCATTAGTTCGGATTTTGAGTGAGAGGCCACTCATTAGTACGGGTTTTGAGTAAGAGGCGAAACGAACCGCCCTCTTATTCGTAATTAATAACTTGTTAGTTTTTTTGTAGTAACGTTCATTTATTACTCACTTATCACTCGTTGTACCTGTCAATAAACCTTGTAAATATATCCCACGCACTATATATACTTAAACCTGTTGCAATCAGAGATTAATTGATTATGTATGATTGGAATATTTACAAAACTTGAAAATTTTCGAGGCGCTAGTGTAGTTGGGGAAGGGGCATTATTACGCAAACATCCCATTTACCCAACACCTCCTCCAGGGTGAATATTGCTTGAGGATTGCCTCAACGGCACGTCGAGGATTTTCGCCTGATCCTTTACGTTCTCGCGCGCGGATATTCACTCTCGCCACCCGCGAGCCGTCTGTGCTCTCCGCGCGTACATTCACTATCGGCTCTACTCTCGCACAGCAGAGAGCGATGGAATTTCCTTGACCGTTATTCACCCTGT